TTCCTGCAGATTCTCCATAATGTTGAGTCATATGGACCCCTTTTCTCTAGAAATTCCTCAGACTCAAGTGCGCCTTGGTAGCAATGCTAAATAGATAATCACAGGAATTAGTACTGAGGTCTGAGGTGCTGCTTTAAAAATACCAGAAAATCTGGAAGCAGCTTTGGAACTGGGTAACAGGCGATTTCGAATTCCATAGACACTTGTTAACTGGTTGTGACAAAAGTACTAATGGAAATATGTACAGTGAAGACCAGGCTGATGAGGTCTCAGATGGAAATAAATAATTTGTCTGAAACTAGAGCAAAGGTCGCCATTGTCATGATGTAGCAAAGAACCAGAGTGCAAAGTGTCCGTGCTCTAGTGCCTGTGGGAGGATGAGGTGAAGGGGGCTGACGAAAGGCAGCTGGCAGAATACATTTCTAAGCAATTTATGAGAAATATCAAAAAGCGGCATGGCTGATTCCAACAGCTTATGACCAAATATGGAAGCAAAATAAAAACTTGGATTTGGAATTTATATATAAAAGAGAAGCAAAGCAAGCAAAAAATAAAAAAAAAAATCTCAAGTTTGGTCATGTGGTAGAGAAAGAAAGAATGTTTTCAGGGGAGGACTCCAAGAGGGCTTCAGGGCACCCCTCACTACAGAGACTGGATTGACGCTGTGGCTCCTGCCATAGAACCAGAATCCTAGGAGGATGGAATAGTTTGGGGGGCAGAGCCCCAGGTGCCACCACCTGTGCCACTGTGGGCCCCCATCCCTGCTGTTCTGTCCCCACCCATTAGTCACGCATATCTAAGCAAATAATTTCAAAACTCCCTGTTTAGCATAAGAGGTGACAAATAATGGTTGTCTTATTTGCAACATTAGAAGAATTTTATCAGTGAGTATATGAGGTGCATAAATATTTTATTATGTTCATATTGACATCTCTGGTTCTCCTTGAGAAGGTGGTGGGTGGTGTCAGCAGAGGGGGCTGTGCAGACCCCCACACTGCAGTCTGGTGACTGGGCACAGTCCATCACCATCCAAGCTCACAGGAACTCTATGTTCATCTTCAGACTTGAGAGTCCCCCTGAGAGAAGGGAGGGCATCCAACCTCTCTGATCCTGTCCTCTGCACCTCAGTCACCAGTTTCAGTGATGTTCCTGGGGGTGTCATTCCTGAGTCCCCCACACTCCTGAGTCTTTTCTGCCCACTGGGACCTCAGCTCCCTCCCGGAGCCCCTGCACTCTCTATGACAACCCGTTCCCCGTAGGTCCCAGGGCAACAGTATCAGTGTCACCGGACGGCTGCAGTAGGTTGTCATTCATTACAGACAGTCAGGCCCCTCTCTCTGAGCATGAAGAGAGTCTCCATCTCAACACCGTCCTTCCGTGTCCCTTCTCTGCAGACCAACCTCATCCCCACCAGGGTGGACGTGAAAGCAGCAGAAGGGGAGGGTCAAGGGGCCTGAAGATTCATCCGTGGGAAATGAGGTCAGAGCGGGGCAGAGCTGCTCAGGTCTCCCACACGGTGATTCTGTGGCTGGACTGGCCTTTGTTCTTCTGCTGTGCGGAGACGGGACAAAGTGTCCTTAGAGCCAGTGCCCAGAGACGCCCCCATTCATTAACATTATTAACTGAAAGAGCAGGCAGTGAGTCCAACCACTGAGGAGAATAGACTATGAGACTGAGGCATCAGTTAGATGAGCTGAGTGTAGCTTAGTGAGGGGCCCCGGTAGAGAGGAAGGTCCCCCTTTGTGAGGCGGGGGTGGTGGGAAAAGCAGAGCTCAGCATCGTCCCCTCAGGCAGGATGCTGACACTGCTTTTCAGGGATGTGCAAAGCGGACAAGCGCCAGCAGGGGGCACTGTGGGCCTGAGTCTGAGACACATGGTGGGTCACAGGGGTGGACCCCGCGCCTGCCTCCTTAGCTGGTGAGTTCTGCTCAACGCTCCCTCTAGGCCCAACAAATCTAAATCTAAGTCCCTTGGGGACAGTAATACTAGTTGTTCAACAGACCTACACCCTCCACAAGCAAACCCCAAGGCAGAGGGGTCTGAATCACGGCTCAGGAAGACTGTGATTCTCAGAGGATTGGGAAGTCATTTCATTTTAAGCCTTCTGCTATCACCATGAGATAACAAATTAGATCTTTGCTGACCTACCCTCAGTGTCAGGGACTCTGGATAGGAGGTCACCACCTCCTGTTCTGGGAGCAGCGTCCACAATGAATCCTCCAATGCGTGTGAGTTCCAGCTCTTATCAGGTGCTGCTGCCAAGATTTAGAGATTTGTAAGTGCTGGGACCTCAAGAATTCCAGACAGTTGTCTCTGACTCTGATTCAAGGTCTAAACTCAGTGGACTCTGGACTAAGTGTGGAAAGAATCTATTTTATATGTGATCTTGGAGATATGACTCACTCTGGAAGTAAAAATAAAGCAGGATATTAACTTCACATTATTTTATTTTTTTCCCTAGATGCCCCTTGCCAAAAACAAACAAACAAACAAACAAAAATCCTGTTTCTTAAATAAATCTTTGAAGTCAAATCATCAGCAAACACCTGGAATTATTTAACAGCAGACATTGCAATATTTTGCTGTGTCCAGGACAGAGGCAGAGGCTGGCTCACCTCTGTGGAGCAGACACAGGGACTGGACACCCTCCACACAGAGAAGGTGTCCCTGCCAAGGGAATCAATGTTGTTTGCAATATTGTGTGTTCTCCCAAGGACCTGCATCCTTTCCTCCCTCACACGGAAATCAGAGGTGGGGCAGACACACTCTGGAGGGACTGACAGTCTCTGATGACCTTCCCTTCTGAGAATTCCGCCTGGCAGAACCTGTTTTCTCCCGACATAAACCGCAGCTTTAGTCCTTCTACTGATCACTTTCCCTTTGTTTTTATGGTCACGGGTCATTTTAGACACTGACCACCCTGTGAGTATCTTTCCTGCATTGGAACAGTTCACTCCGTATGAATCCCTGACTCTTCCTGGGAAAGATAAATGTCTGATTCTTTCCATGAACATGGAGATAAGTGACTGAAAACATTTCAGTAAAGGAGCACAGGCTGGCATGAAATACAATATAAATACCGGGGACGCTCTAGGAAGGCAACTGCACAGCTCAGGGGTAACATAAAGCAAACTTTAAAGAAATGGAGATGAGTGATCCTGGGTCCCCACCCCAGGTTTCCAAAGGTACAAAACGGAGATAATGTTGGGAAAGTCTCCTTTGGACGCCCTTCACCTTGAGCATCACATCACGGTCAGTGACAGAGAAATCAG